GCGGGAGAAAGATGAGGCTTTCTACTCCCGTAAAGATTTACACCCTCGGAAACCCTGTACAGGGTCGCTATGGGTCAGAACCGACTCGATGGCACTTAACAACAACAACATATTAAAACACAGACATACCCTCTAATACAGTGTTTCTATTGAGAAAATTTAACAAAATGGGGAGCAGAACAAGTCTCTGGTTGCATTGTAGAGAAAAAATGTAAAGTATCAGAATCACTTGTGAAGGTTTTGATGTGTGTGCCAAAGAGAGTGTGTGTCCAAGATGCTCCTAGCAGTAGGACAGACTTCAGGTGTCATATTTGTATGTTACAGCATAAAAGAACGGCTACTTTTTGTTAGCAGTTACATTAATTGTTTAGCTACTAGTGATTGGTGATTTGGGTACTTCAATTTAACCTGATAGTTTATTACTTATATATTGGAATTATATTGTGGTTATAAAAACAAATTTTATGAATAGGTTGTGTGTGGAGAGTGCAAAGTGATATATATTACTTTAAAACACTGAGGAATAGATTCCTGTTGAACATTTTTGTACAGAACATCTGATTTCCAGAAATAATCATGACTTAAGGAAGAAATGTTTGTGTCTCCAAATCTGAGCACTTCTCAACACTTTACTGCTAATCATGCTAGTATGAACCTTTCTCATTTATTCCCTGCATTCTTGTAATAGCCTCCATGTTTCTACCCCTGCCTTCTCCATTCTGTTTGCAGCGTAGCAGGCAGAGTTCTGAGAGAAATGTAATTCAGTTCAAGCCCTCTCTTGTTTGTTGTTATTGTTAAGTGCCATCGAGTCGATTCCGAATCATAGTGACCCTGTATCGGGTTTCCAAGGAGTAGCTGGTGAGCTTGAACCACCGACCTTGCAGTTCAAACGACTTTGCAGTCTGACGCATTAACCCACAGCACCACACCAGGACTCCATTTGGGTGCTCCAAATTTTACTTAAAATAAAAGACAGACTCCTTGCATTGGTTCGTAACATTTGATCTTTCTCTGTCTTTTCTTGTCCTCTGTCTCTGTAATAGGGAGTCCTGCTGTGGTGCTGTGGGTTAATGCACTGGAATGCAAAGTTGATTTGAACTGAAAGGTCAGTGGTTCAAGCTCACTAGCCACTCTTCAGAAACCCTATACAGGGTTTCTGTGGGTCAGAACCAACTCGATGACATTTAACAATAACAAATCCCTGTAATAAGGAGCCCTGGTGACAAAATGGGGTGGGGTAAGCATGAGGCTGCTAACCACAGGGTCAGTGGTTCAAATCCACCAATCACTGTGCAGGAAAAAGATGAGACTGTCTGCTCCTGTAAAAATTTACCATCTCAGAAACCCAAAGGTATGGTTCGACTTTGTCCTACAGGGTTACTATCAGTCAAAATCGACCTGATGGCAGTGGCTTTGGATTTGGATTTGCATCTCTGTAATAGAGATCACAATGTGAGGTTAAAACAAATTCTTGTTGTTGTAATGTGCCATGGAGTTGGTTCTGACTCACAGCGACCCTATACAGGGTTTCCGAGGCTGTAAATCTTTACAGGAGCAGAAAGCCTCATCTTTCTCCCGCGGAACAGCTGGTAGTTTTGAACTGCTGACCTTGCAGCCC